ACGCCCTTCCCATGGACATTAGATCAGCTCCTTCGTTAATGGTGTTTCGAAGAAAACTAAAAACCTGGCTGTTTGAACAGGCATTCGGATAAACGGTGCAATGAATACGATGAATATAGGAACGGAATTATGGATGACGAATTGGATCACGACTCTAGTTACCAGACGTTAATGTGTTGTTATTGATGTATCATTACTTTGTATACTATGCTGTTAATGGTTTTTAAATTGTATGTTGTTATGATTGACTTTCTGCTCTTGTTGTGAACCGTGTTGAGTCGCCTACGGGCTGAGAAACTGCGGTATACAAGCAAAGTAAATAAAATAAAAAAATAAATATCCTCAAATATTCTTTAATTTTTTTCAGATTTTGAAAACAAATTCTACTGGGGCACTAGAGAGAGAAGGATAGTCAATGTTATGTGGGGAGGTTGAGGGAGGAAAGCCATTTCCCCTGTTTTTGCTGGTTATCCCCCCCCCCCCCTTCCTATATAATAAACAACGGTTGTTTCCACAATGGGGACATGGGTGGGAGAATAACAGGAAAATGGGGGTGGGGTGGGAGGGAAATGATTTTCCTCCTTGAACCCACTCTCATCAAATAGACCAGGGGTCCTCAAACTAAGGCCCAGGGGCTAGATACGGCCCTCTAAGGTCATTTACCCGGCCCTCGCTCAGGGTCAACCTAAGTCTGAAATGACTTGAAAGCACACAACAACAACAATCCTATCTCATCAGCTAAAAGCAGGCCCAAACTTCCCACTGAAACACAAATAAGTTTATATTTTTTAAAATTGTTTTTCATTTTAATTATTGTATTGTTTTGAAGTGGGTTTTTTTTGCAATACAAATGAGATATGTGCAGTGTGCATAGGAATTTGTTCATTTTTTTTCAAATTATAATCCGGCCCTCCAACCGTTTGAGGGACTGTGACCTGGCCCTCTGTTTACAAAGTTTGAGGACCCCTGGTATAGACTATCCTTCTCTCTCTAGCACCCCCTAGTGGCCTCCACCCAATGGAAAAGTAACTCCTCAGCTACCCAAATTCATGATGTTGTGAACAAAGCTTTGCAGATAATATCAGTAATAGCTAAAAGAGAAACAGAGGCAGGCATGTAGCTGGGGGGTGGGGTGGGGTTGAGGGGCTTCAGCCCCCCCCCCGAAATTCTCAGGGTGGCCCACAAGAAGGTCTTACTGGTACAGTGTGATCTTGGACTCATCGCTGAGCCTGGAGCCCCAGGTTTCAGCGGTGACCAGGGGAGCATTTGCACAGTTAAAACTTGTGCGCCAGCTGCGCCCGTACCTTGGGAAGTCTGACTTGGCCACGGTAGTCCACGCTCTGGTTACATCCCGCATAGACTACTGCAACGCTCTCTACGTGGGGTTGCCTTTGAAGACTGCTCGGAAGCTTCAAATGGTCCAGCGTTCGGCAGCCAGGTTGCTAACAGGAGCGGCACTCAGGGAGCATACTACTCCTCTGTTGCACCAGCTCCACTGGCTGCCAGTTTGCTACCGGGCACAGTTCAAAGTGCTGGCTTTAGCCTATAAAGCCCTAAACGGTTCTGGCCCTACTTACCTCTCCGAACGCATCTCCTCCTATGAACCAACTAGGACACTAAGATCATCTGGGGAGGCCCTGCTCTCTGTCCCACCTGCATCACAGGCGCGCTTGGCGGGGACGAGAGACAGGGCCTTCTCAGTGGTGGCCCCTCGGCTGTGGAACGCCCTGCCTGCAGATATCAGATCGGCCCCCTCCCTGCTGGCGTTTTGGAGGAAAGTGAAGACCTGGCTGTTTGAACAAGCATTTGATTAAACAGTGTAATTGAACATAGGAATACGGAATAATGGATGACGAGACTGGATTCTGATTTTACTGTTGAGGCGCTAATGATTGTTATACTGATGTTAATGATTTATGTGATAATTGTTTTTAATTGCCCTATACTTGTTTTGTGATATTTTGTACTGATGTTGTTCACCGCTTTGAGTCGCCTGAGGGCTGAGAAAAGCGGTATAGAAATAAAGCAAATAAATAAATAAATAAATAATAGACTGTTATGTTTATTCATACCATGATCTGATCACCATGCGCAATATATCTCATATGCATTGGGCTATTGGGATAAAGATACAAAATGTTTGCTAGGGTAGATCCTCACCCCCCCCCCCCCCCCCCCCCCCCCGAATCAAAATCCTGGCTATGGGCCTGAACAGAGGGATTCAATTCAGTGCTAAATAACACTAGAAGCATCGAAATGCAACATACTGTACCTATTAGTATCAAGCTCCCAGGTTTTCGTCGTTCCACAAGGGGTAGCTCATCATAGGAGAATATTATGCTCGAGAATGTTTCAGGGCCTCTTCTCTCTACAGCAATCAGCTGGCTAGTGAGTACTTCATAGTTGTGACTAGAAAGGATGGGCTTTCTAATGTCAGATGCCAAAGACCGAAGATGAAAACCAGTTACTAACATAGCCAGGCCTCGTAGTATAAAATCTGAATCTAAATATGGGCGGTCTCTCAGGGCAGGAATCCGAAAGCGAAGTGGTATACGACGTTTTTGCATTGGGAAACTAGGAGGCCCGCTAGTCTGCAGAGGAATAATAAAATCTCTCTTGGGAATTCGTATTCCAAAATCATAGTCTGGAAAACACAGAAGAATTGGTTGCTTCTTCTCTGGCACTGCAAGCTGGACGTCATCTGTCTCTGAAGTTTTTTTGAATTCTTTCTCTTCTTCAATCGCATCTATTGTGTAGAATTGTATATGTGAAAGAGGGAAAGAGAAGAAGAAAGAATATTAGAGAAATCTAAAGTAGCATTGCACACACACAAACATATAGTGAGCCCTTGGTATCCAATGGGTTTTTTTCCACGATTTTTGTGGATACCAGAGTCTGCAAATGCTCAAATCTCATTATATACAATGGTGTGGTAAAATGGTGTCCCTTATATAAAATGGCAAAAATTACGGTGTGCTTTTTGAATTTTTGAATATTTTCAAGCCATAGATGTTTGAATTCATGTTTGCAGAATCCACAGATACAAAATTTACAGGAGGAGTTGAAATTTTCAGGGGGGGGGTTGAAATTTTCGCGGGGGGTTGAAATTTGGGGGGGTTGAAATTTTCACCAGGGGGGTTGAAATTTTTGGGGGGTTTGAAATTTTCATGGGGGGGTTGAAATTTTCACGGGGGGTTGAAATTTTCATGGGGGGGGTGAAATTTTTGCAGGGGGGGTTGAAATTTTTGCAGGGGGTTTGAAAGTTTCACCAGGAGGGTTGAAATTTTTGCGGGGGGGGGGGTTGAAATTTTCGCGGGGGGGGTGGGGGGGGTTGAAATTTTCACGGGGGGTTGAAATTTTCATGGGGGGGGTGAAATTTTTGCAGGGGGGGTTGAAATTTTTGCAGGGGGTTTGAAAGTTTCACCAGGAGGGTTGAAATTTTTGCGGGGGGGGGGTTGAAATTTTCACGGTAGGGTTGAAATTTTCGTGGGGGGGGGTTGAAATTTTCATGGGGGGGGTTGAAATTTTCACGGGGGGTGAAATTTTTGCAGGGGGGGGGTTGAAATATTTGCAGGGGGTTTGAAAGTTTCACCAGGAGGGTTGAAATTTTTGCGGGGGGGGGGGGGAAATTTTCACGGGGTTGAAATTTTTGGGGGGGGTTTGAAAATTTCAGGGGGGTTGGGGGGGGTGAAATTTTTGTGGGGGGGGGGGTGAAAAGTTTGGGAGGGTGGGGGGGTAGGGGGAGGGGTTGAAATTTTCAGGGAGGGGGGTTTGAAATTTTCACAGGGGGGGGGGTGAAACCTGCCTCCTAGCTCACGCTGAAGCAAAGAATACAGCAGGGGGCAGAGCAGCCTTCAATAGCCTGCAGCTCCGCCCCTGTCAACCACCTCCACCAAGTCTGGCCTCCTTAATGAGAACATTCAACACACACACAACTTGGTTGCTTCACTACATCAGCTATTGCTGCAAGTAATGACAGTGTGAATAAATTGTCAATATTTGCTTGAGGTAGTGCTTGCAGTTCTGGAGGGACTCTTAATTTTTTGCATCTCATAGACTTAGCATGGGGATTTGGTTAACCAGTTAAAATTCATGAGTAAACCAGGTTTTTTAAAAATCTGAAACATTTCGGGGGGGGGGGTTGAACCCCTAACCCCCCCCCCCCCTCGCTACAGGCCTGAAAGGGCCAACTGTGTTTTTGTGCGTATATACAGACACACAGAGATATATTTATCTACGGTATATATTCTAATTCAGGTTGTGGCTCTACCAGGCAAAATACTGTGTAACTTGTTCCAGAGCTGTCCTGTAAAAGTACGGTAGAAGAAAATCCACTCACGATAGAAGGATTTGTGAAAACAAGTGACTTAACACGGGACTGATGATGAGGTGAGGGGGTGCCTCACTGGGAAGCTGTAAGTGAAGGGGGGGGGAGCAAGCTGCAGGCATCCGGGACGCCCAGGGTATGGAAAAAAGAGATAGAGAAGCAGTGTGCCCAGAAAAACACACCTCTTTCCCCCGTCTGCCCTGCCCTTGTATCCTATTACCATACCTCCTTCTCTGCCTCTCAGATCTCGCTCCAGAGTGAAGTGGTGTAGGTGTGCATGTGCAATATCTGAGAGGCAGAGAAGGAGGTACAGTAACAGGAAAATTACTATATTAAAATCAAATCTGATTTTTAAAAAATATATATTTGGAAGAGGGGTAGTCTTATGCAGCAAGTATATCCCAAACTCTATATTTTAACTGGGAAAGTCAGAGGTCATCTTATATGTCTAGTCATCTTATATGCTGGAAAATACAGTACATTTTATTCGGCCCATGTAGACATAGGCATGGGGGCATGGTGGCACAGTGGGTTAAACTGCTAAGCTGCAGAACTTGCTGATTGGAAGGTCAGCGGATCAAATACACAGACAGGGTGAGCTCCCATTGTTAGGCCCAGCTTCTGCCAACCTAGTAGTTCAAAAATATGCAAATGTGAGTAGATCAATAAGTACTGCCTCAGTGGGAAGGTAAAAGCGCTCCATGCTGCCCACATGACCTTGGAGACAATGTCAGCTCTTTGGCTTAGAAATGGAGATGAGCACCAACGCCCAGAGGCAGGTACAACTAGACTTAATGTCAAGGGGAAATCTTTACCTTTACCTACCTTTACCTCTAGACATGGGCATAGTAAAATAAAAGTAATTAAGTTGCAGAGAGCAATATTTCTTACTAATTTAATAAATACACCCAGAGTGAAGTGCAATGAATTGTAAATGACATTTTGAATAGAGAAGGAAGAGTGTGGTGTAAAGAAGTTAATTGAAACCTATTTGAGGTATTTTAGAAAATAAGCAGTGAAACAACAGGTAGATTACAATCATGAGGGAGCAAGGAGATGGAATGAGAAGGAGACGAGCACAGAGTTCACCAAATAGATTGGATGGTGAGGATTTCAGGAAAGAGTGCCAGTTATACAGAAATCAAGCAGCACAAAGGAAGGGAGAAATTTGAAAACTTAGGGTGTATTTCACTTTCTTCAGAATCCCACCCATTGTCTCAAATAGGACAGAATCACTTCCAAGGCATTTGATGATAGTTTCACCTTGAAAACATCATTATCACCACATTCTGTCCAGCAGCAAGAGCAACACTATTAAGAACTGGGAGAAAATGAAAGGTAACTAGATGGAGGATGGATCTGGCTCAATCACTGCTAGTAAACCAGCTCTGCTAGACAGACATTTATCTGAGAGACTTGACACCACACACGGGTGCTGACCCCACCATTGGGTAGGATGATAAAATAAAAACACACAAAAAGTCTAGGGAAAGTGGGAAGTGCATACATAACATATGGCCTACACTATTTCCTACTTCTTGCTAATTTGGCCAAAAAGGTGTGCATTAAATGGCTGCACAGCCCTGTTACTGTCCCTCTTGCTGAGTTAGTGGAGTGCACCAATCATTAGGGTATCCTTGAAGTGACTGGATTGACCTTGAAGGAGCTGGGGGTGGTGACGGCTGACAGGGAGCTCTGGCGTGGACTGGTCTATGAAATCACAAAGAGTCAGAAACGACTGAACGAATGAACAACCAATCATTAGAGACTTCTAAACATAAAAGGTGTTTTGCACTCCACTAACTCAGCAAGAGGGGAAGAGAGAGGTGGCAGAATCTGACGCTTTCCAGTTGACTCAGGCAAAAGCAAACTGCCACAGACTCTCATAGGTTGTGTTTTGTCCTCATTAATATTTTATTTCTCCTTTGTTGACATGACCACAGACTGATGTTGCTGGGACACACGTGTACTGGTTTTCACTAGCCAAATGTTGGAAGATAAGCCAACAGCAGAGTCAGAGACAATAACAGGGCTGTGCAATTGGTCATTGCTGCGTCCTTATTCTGAAAGGGAAGGTCTTCTTCCCATCACTCTTTCTTGTTGGGTGAGCAGAGGTTTGTCCAGCTTCTGATGGCAGATAAATGACCACAGACTGATGTTGCTGGGACACACGTAAGTGTTGGGAGTGTTGTAATTCTCCACTGGTTCTGGAGAGCAGCACTGATCAAGGGAAGCTCTGCAGAACAGCAAAAGCCTCACAGGGGAGAGCAACATTTTTTCTACACAATGTCTTGACATTTAAGGGGCTGTGGATAGCACAGCAGGTTAAACTGCCAGCTACAGAAAATCTTGCTGACCAGAAGGTTGGCAGTTCAAGCCTTGGGTGGGGTGAGCTCCTGCCATCAGCCCTAGCTACTGCTTACCCAACAGTTCAAAAACTGAAATGTGAGTAGATAAATGGATACTGCTATGATGGGGAGGTAAAAGACATGCCAGCAATTCAACCAGGAAGGCGTCCATGAATAACAGGCTCTTCAACATAGAAAAATAGGACAACAGCACCTCCCCATGGCTGAGTTGAGCACAGCCTCCTGATGCCGGAAATGAAAAAGGGGGAAGCCTAGCCTCTGCCTATGTATTGTGTGTCTTTGTTAATTGTGTAATGGCATATATGTGTTATTTGCCATATATGGATTCTACAACCCACTCTGAGTTCCTTCAGGGAGATAGAGCAGAATATAAATAAAGTATATTATTATTATTAAGGAGAATGGCTTGCTAAGACTCCTGTCAAGGGGACTGGGACACCTGTAGAGGACCCTGTGTGCATCTAAGGTAGAAGTGGCAATCCAGAACATGCTTCCTAAGGAATAAACCCATAGGAACTTATTTTTGAACAACTGAGCTTTCCTGAAGTACAACTGATCAGTCATCACCACTCCAGGAGATCATGATAAACCATAAACTATAATATCTATTCATGCCTGTATCCCATATCAACTGCTGGAGAATGAGAAGTATAGGACTGCAATGCATTATGTGGGCCATCATAACCAACTGTCCCACATTACCTTTGTATTTTTTTGTTGGTAGAAGTCCTCTTTCCACCTTTGGAGGCAGAGGTCTTCGAAGTAGTTGAAGCTGAAACATGGTCCTGTCTTATTCACTGTGATGTAAAGCTAAATGGAGAAGGGAATCAAACCTTTTTTAAAAACAAAAAACATACAATGAGGAAGGGAATATAAATGTTGTATCTAATCAAATTCTTAATATTTTTAAGAGGATCAGGTATTCTAAAACCTTTGAACTCAAGATCACCACACTATAAGTCATTTTCCCTGAAGAAAATCCTGACCCAGCCTCAAGCAAGCCCCCAAACAGCACCAATGATACATCAAGTACATGGAGATCCTTGCGTATGGCTTCATTCATCCCTTTGCAATGCATACTTGAGCAGATACAGCTAAATTGACAGAAAATAGTTTTGATTAAAATTATTTTAGGTTCTATTGTGTCTAAATAAAAGGATACTTTAGGGAGTCCCCCAGTGGCACAGTGGGTTAAACCACTGACCTGCTGAACTTGCTGATCAAAAGGTCAGTAATTTGAATCTAGGGAGCAGGGTGAGCTCCCGCTGTTAGGCACAGCTTTAGCCAACCTAGCAGTTCAAAAACATGGACATGTGAGTAGATCAATAGGTACTGCCTTGGTGGAAAGGTAACATCATTCCATGCAATCATGCCAGCTACATGATCTTGGAGGTGTCTACAGATTTTAAATGTGTTTTGTGCTATTGTTCAATGTTTATGCTATTTGTGTATGAGATTTATTTTAATTGCTTTGTATTAGTATTTGTATTTTGCTTTGTATTGTGGTTGTTATTGCTTGTATTGATGTATTGTGGGCTCGGCCTCATGTAAGCCGCACCGAGTCCCTTGGGAGATGGTAGCGGGGTATAAATAAATTATTATTATTATTATTACAGACAACGCCAGCTCTTCGGCTTAGAAATTGAGATGAGCACCACACCCCAGAGTCAGACACAACTGGACTTAATGTCAGGGGAAAACCTTCATTTCTATAATCTCCAAGGATATACAGCAATAGGGATGGTGAAACAATGCTGTGCTGCAGTCTTATCTCTTTGGACTGGAAAATCGCATATTGTCTTGTACTTGTATGTTTCACATGATGCCACGTTTCTCTTGTTGTTAACACCTTAAGTATAATTTCAGTATTGGGCTTTAAGAAATGTATAATGGAAGAATTAACATGTGGTTTTATAGTTTCTCTGCTGTTTAATATATATATATAGGGGGGGGGGCTTTTAAAACAATTATAAACAATGAAAAGAGCAGGAGAAAAGCATGTAAGTATTTCTGAATTGTAAAATGTTTTTTTTTCTAGGCTAAAGTCTAAAACATCTGGAAGACCAAAGATTGGGAACCATTGGTCTAAAGCAGTGGTTCTCAACCTGTAGGTCCACAGATGTTTTGGTCTTCAACTCCCAGAAATCCTAACAGCTGGCTGGGATTTCTGAGAACTGTAGGCCAAAACATCTGGGGACCCACAGGTTGAGAACCACGGCTCTAGGCCGAAGTGCTATGTATGCAGAATGAGAAATTGTACTTACCATGAAGGTTCATTCTGGGATAGCAGGATCCAAGATTCTTTTTCAGTTGAGCTGTTAAGTTCCTGCTCACTTCTCCAACAGTTTTATTATCAAGCTTTAAACAACCTAAATTATTAGAACCACTTCCATTTATCAACTAATTTTTTGTTTGGATTGCTCCTCTTGCCAACCCAGAATAAACCTTCATGGTAAATCTAATATCGCATTCTTGGGATGGCAAGGAGGAGCAGTCCACCACAATTGGGACTTACCTTCTCCTGGGCAGGAGAATTACTTTGATATTACAGATTACCATTCTAAAAGCTGCTCATGCTGACTTATATTGATCCAAAGATCTATGGTGGCCCCCAACCTTTTTTTTGAGCCGGGACCACTTTGTCCAGGGACCATTTTGACCAGGAACCACTCTCCAACATCAGTACCAAAGGGATTATGAATCGGTTTTTGGTCAACTTTAGATTTGGTTTGGTTATTTGGGATGCTGATTCAGAAAATTGTATTGGATAGGCCCCATTAGCTCTCGTTTCTGATACAGAACATATACAACCAGTAGTCGCCATCTGCTCGCCCACAGAAAACCATATTTAATAATCTAGAGCTGATGTAGTCTATCCAATGCAAATTTCTGAATCAGCACCCCAAATAACTCCAGGAACTGGCCTATGAATGAAGACATCAAGACGCTTCCAGGAGGAGGGAGGAGGAGCAGCAGTCAGGAGGCTTGTTGTTGCACCTTTCGTGGGTGGGTCAGCCACTTCCTACCCAACATCCCCATTGCCTAGGCACTATAAGAGGGTTTCGTGAGACTAGTCACTCTCTTTGCAATGGTGTAGTAACAGTGAGACTGCAGACCATATTTTAATTCTTGGGGACCACTGGTGATCCACGGACCACAGGCTGGGAACCACTGATCTAGGCCCTTTATAATACCAAATTTTGTACCTCTTGCAGTGATAGTGTAGCAATGCACATATTGAAATGCTCAATTATTGTATTTTGTTGAAGCCTTATGGGTTTTTGTTGTTGTTGTGTCAGGAGCGACCTGAGAAACTGCAAGTTGCTTCTGGTGTGAGAGAATTGGCCGTCTGCAAGGACGTTGCCCAGGGGACGCCCGGATTACTTGATTTTTTTTCATCCTTGGTGGGAGGCTTCTCTCATGTCCCCGCATGAGGAGCTGGAGCTGATAGAGGGAACTCATCCGCCTCTCCCCGGATTCGAATCTGCGACTTGTCGGTCTTCAGTCCTGCCGGCACAGGAGTTTAACCCACTGCACCACTAGGGGCTCCAGCCTTATGGTGATATTGTAGTACTGCGGACCCTTAGGTGAGAAGTCAGAAAGATAAGAAAAAAATTGCACCAGGGTGCCCTCTTGAGGTAGCCTTGCAGTACTGCAGCCGCTAGACATATATCCGGGAACACGTCCGAAACTACTATTTGCTACTGCTATCAGCATTGGAGACAAGCAATTAAATAGGGTGGGGACCGAGAACTGGGCTTGCCAGGAAAGCAGCATGTCACAGAAATGTGAAACCTTCCCACTGATCTCAATGTACATCTCGGCCATGTAGCTGCTTTTATTTTTTTAAAAATTGAGGAATCTCAAACAGGGAACTGAAGGACACACCTAAAGTAATGTGTAGCTTGAGACTCACTGATAGCTCTGATTTTAAAAAATACTGCTGTAAAAAGCAGGTCATGATGTTCTCAGCTCCATCTTGTAAGGTGCATTTTATCTCTTCAAGTTAGAAATACTCAGTTTCCATATCACTGTTTGGTTAATCTTGAACTGCTTGGAAGTCTTGCTTTGTCTGGCAGTTCCAGGGCTTAGTCTAGAGCATTTTTTTATTCTCCATTTCTGAATTATTCCCAGTTGATACCGGGGAAGAAACATTAGATTCACAGCAGTGTAATATTCCCTAACATTTAAGGTTCTTCTGTTTCCAAACTATGAGAGTTTGCTTCCAGTGTAACCAGTGATAAGTCCAGGTGGTGAAAGTAAACAACTGGAGTTACTGAAATAATAAGGAAAAAGCAAGGGAACAATGCTGCATAGTGCTGGGGGAACCACAATATTTGGCTGGATGGAGCAAAAGAAAAGGAAAAACAATATAGATATCAAAGTTCAATTAGTTACCTTGTATCACGCCGGAAGTCACTCCTGGAAGCATCTGCATCTGATGACTACAACTCCGTAGGACTCAGTTGAAAAGAGGAGTGACTTTAATTACCAATTTAGCTAGTATCAAAAAGTACCTTCACTTTGTAGTCCCATTCCTTCATTTTGTAGTCCCCTTTCTTAAGGTTAGCTCTGCATCTCATGAATTACAAAGTGGAGTCCACGACATGCAAGTGCGGAGAAGAGCAAATCATAGACCACCTACTACAATGCAACCTCAGCCCTGCCACATTCCTAAATGGCTCTGACCCAACTTACTTGTTCAAACTTATCTCCTCCTATGAACCACCTTGGAGATTAAGATCATCTGGGAAGACCCTGCTCTCGGTCCCACATTCTTCGCTGGCGCAACTTGTGGGGACAAGACAGGGCCTTCTCAGTGGTGACCCCTCGACTGTGGAACTCCCTCCTCAGTGACATTACATCAGCCCCTTCCCTCCTGGCCTTCAGAAGGTAAGTGAAAATGTGGCTTTGGGACCATTTCTTTGGAGAATAGTTGCAATAATAGATATGGAATATGTGAAATGACTATTGGAACAGCCCTGGACTACAATTATGGATGGTGTGATTTTAATATTGAATGTAAATGTTTTTAAATGTTTAATATGTATTAATTTTGTTTTTTAATCTTAATTTAAATGTCGTTAGAATTGTTTGCCGCTGTAAGGCATTGAATAATTGCCAATACGTAAGCCGCCCTGAGTCCCCTTCGGGGTAGAGAAAGGTGGGGTATAAATAAGGTAAGTAAGTAAATAAATAAATAAATAAATAGATGCACAATGGAGCCATCCCGAATCCCCGTTGGGGAGATGGTGGCAGGGTATAAATAATAATAATAATAATTATTATTATTATTATTATTATTCTTACAGCAACACCAGTGGCACTCTAAGCAGCCAGCTTTTGGTCAAAGGACATATAGAATAATGCCAAGTTTTAAATTTTGTGTCTTTAAATACATGATAACTGTACCATCAATTCACTTCTGAAACGATAAATAAATTTAAAAACTACCTTAGCATCAGTGATTTATATATTTTTATAAATGCACTGTAAAGGGGTGGCAGTGTTTAACTATTGAAAAGAATGGTGACTGTTTAAAACTTCATTTACTCTATTTCACATCAACACAGTTACATCTCTTGGATTATACAATACTGAGATGCCATCTCATTCATTATGGGACTTATGCCTGGCCACATTGATAAGCTCATCCAACCAAGCAGGAAGATAACAAAATGAAAATAAGAAGTTCAAAAACAGTTTCAATGAGGGGGAAATAAAAGCAGCAAGCAGAAAAGAAAAAAAAGTCAATTGCAATGGTTTCTGAAGTCCTATATTCACATCTTTCGACACCCTGCAAT